CTATGTGTGCCCTTAGAAATAAATAGGTAGGGGACATCTCTACTGCCCACCTCAGCAGGAAGAAGTTACAGAAAATTAATCTTTGTCCCAGTTCTCAAAATCAGAAAAATATTTCCAAGAGCAGAAATGGGAAATAAAAGGACAGACCAAAAGTGAGAAGCCATTTTTATTTCACTCCCAAATCTTACCACAATATAAAAAAAAATAACTTTGCCAACTTTGTCTTTTTAGAAACCCAGATTTCTCAAGTATAACCTGTATTAACCCATTCCAATGTACCCTTCCTTAAAATAAATTACCCATCAGTCTCTATTAAAGTACCTCCAGTCTCTACAATAGGTCAGGCAACTGTACACTCCAGTGTTCATGCTGTCTTGCCCACTCCTGTCCTCCATGCCTTGTCATCCATTCCAGCCTGACGACCTGGTTCTCATCAAAAAGTTCCCCAAAAAAGGACTAACTCCTGCCTGGAAGGGACCATTTCTCATCATCCTCACCACTTCAACAGTAATCAAGGTCAATGGGATACCAGCCTGGATTCACCACACCCAAGTCAAAAGGGTCAGGGAAACTGACCTAACTTCACCAGTTTGTGTCATCGACTGTGCTGCGGTGGCAAGGGACCCCAAATATCCACTCCCTCATTCAACAAGGGAAAACAGCCACTGTTCAGCCAACTAGACTGCAACCAAGGACTCCAAGAACCCTCTCAAGGTTACCTTTCAATGTACATCTAAGCCATAAGAATCAAACAGACTGGTTGCTAATTTCATTTTAAATGCATTGTACTTATCCTTTACCTCTTGTTTTTGTAATCCCACTTGTTTTGGGTTTTGGCGTAGAACTGCTTACTATAGCTCCCGCAGATTGGAAATGTGGCAAAAAGTCCCTGTTAATACTATGCTCACAATAAGTTTAACTTGGTTTATTTTACTTGGAGAGTCTAAAGACACCCTGTGCTCTTTTCCTCTAACATCTTTCACAACAGGGGAGGTACTAGCTATCCAAAACTGGACCCACGGTTCACCTCCAGTCTCCTTTAAGGTAAACCTTCCTGACCTGCTACAAATAAAAAAGAAATGCCTATCTGGAAACCTGTATGGTAAACAAAACCTTACTATACTGAATCATGTACACAGTGAGCAACCCCCAATTATGTAAGGGACATAGACTTTTATCTCTGTCCCAGTAACCCCACGGGCCGCAGTTTTAATTGGGAAAACGACTTCTTTTGCCCAGACTGGATATGTGTCACCATTGCAACTTATAGTAGGGGGCCTAATAACACATTTACCTAGAAAGTCATAGCCAAACCAATAGAGCCATTGGCAGAGCTGAAAAATCCCTTGTTCAGTTACCACCAAGTTCCACCTCAGCCTCTGCCTTCTGCCAGCCAAGCCACTACCCCGGGTTCACCTCAACAGCTCCCAAGTTCATCTTGACTGCTTCCAAAACTGGCCCACCAACACTCTAGTCTTTTTCCTATGTCAACTAATATGCACCGTCTGCTTGATGTCACTATGCCCCAGTTGGCCTCAGATTGCTGGCTCTGCTTAAAACCAAAACCCCCATACTGTGTGGGCCTAGGAGTTGAAACTCCTATCATCAGCAACACAGACAAAAGTAAATGTTCTCTGGAAATGGTTCACATTACTCTAGGTAATATAACTGGTAAAGCCTTCTGCCATATAACTCCAGGTTTCAATGTAACAACTTCTCCATTCTCTGATATTTATAACTTGTCTCTCATTGCAACTATGGCTGAGTCCATGGCCTATGTGGCTCCTGACAACACCTGGTTGGCCAGTTCCACTGGCCTTACCAAGTGTGCTACTACCAAAAGGTTTAATCAGCCTGCTTTATATATCATTGTTCATGTGCTGCCTCAGGTTTATGCTTATAGTGGTCCTGAGGGAATTCTTCTACTCAATCCCCTGGTCTTCAAATTGCTCATTCAAAACACACTGTTCCCTTGGTAGTACCCACCTTAATCAGACTAAGTATATTGGCTACAGCTGAGATTGGCACTGCTGATCTGGTCCATGGGAAAATGGGTTTATCTAACCTTGCCCAAGAAATTAATGCTGACCTAAAAATCTGTAATTTTCCATGGACCAACTCCACAACCAGGTAAAATCCCTATCTGAAATTGTCCTTCAAAGTTGTAGAGGCCTAGACTTACTTTTTCTATCCTAAGATGGACTCTGTAGCCCTTGGAAAAGCTTGTTGCTTTTATGCCAACAAATTCGGAGTTATTAAAAATACTCTTTAAAAAGTCCAAAAAATTTAGACAAACGACAAAAAGAAAAAAAAAATACTGGTTCTAAACCTTATTTAATTAAAACCCATGGTTAACAACTCTTGTCACTAGTCTAACCAGACCCCTCATACTCCTTCTCCTCAGTCCACTTATCGGGCCCTGCATAATTAATTAAATTATCCATTTTGTCAAACAACAAATCAGTTTTGTAAAACTCCTGTATATGAGATCCCAGTATAATAATATACTTCTGACTAATGAGTCAACGCATTGACTCATAAGCAAGTAAAAGGGGGGAATGAAATGAATAAAATATAAAATATCAAATCTGAAAAATGTATAATAACCTGTAATAGCTAGCTTGACATAAGTAACTCCATTTTGTGACAGGTCTTCCATGTTATCCTAGAAATAACCCCCTTATGTAACCTTCCCGTAATTATATCGCACACCCACATTCCTGTGCCCCTCAGTACTTGGAAACTTCCTAGGTGCGCAAATTCTGTAGCTATCTGTACCCCATTCGCAATCAAATGTTTTACCAAGACATTTATCAATCAAACTGTACAGCTTATGTAATTTATATGCACTACTCACTCTGTTCGGAGCCAAGAGTTCTTTGGAACACTAGTCCGCTCTTGGTCACCGGCATCAATAAAGGACTCACAATTCAACCCTCTCTGCATGTTGGCATCATCTCTCGCAATCCAGTTATAGCATTACTATCAAAGCCACAGATTGGACTCTCATTAGCACACTTTCCCAGACCACTGTTGTGCCCTCCTGGTTGGTGTCTCTGCCATCTATAAATTAAGGAAGTCAAATTTAATAAGTCCTTATGGACATTAAACATTAAACTCTAAAACATTAAGATTTGCAATTTCATCTAATGTCAATGAATTTCAGCTTTTCTGTTAAATAACCCATATAAAGAAGTATTCATGCCTTCTTTTATCCACATGGATATAAAATTTCCAAATATGAAATAGGAATAAGCATAACAATTTAGAAAGCATTGCAATCTTTCATGACATTTCATCTTGGAAACATAAACTCAAAAGTGAACAACTTTAACTGCCCTTCTAATAAACCCGTTCTCACAGATGTCAGGCTCTTAACAAATACAAACAAGGAGTAAAGTCTTAAGAGTTTTAAAATGTGTGCATTTAATATTTTCAGCAAAGGGATGAGCAACACTTTCAATCAAAAAGGAATCTAAAAGAAAACAGCAGCATTATAAGAGTAATGAGTCCAGTCAGCTAGACTCACATGCTAACTCAGCACTCCCTCCCCAACTCCTCCACCTTCCAGACGTGCTCTGTTGACCTTTTTACCATGGAATGGGATGCACCTTCTCAGATACTGTCATTGTCGTTCATAATCCTAACGGACTTGTGTTATAAGCAGGTGTTTACATGGCTGTTATATTTGAATATAGAAAATGAAGAAATGATTATGTAACTTGTCAGTGGTCAGAGGAAACTGAAAACAAGTGCCTAGCATGGCCTCCAACAACCAGAAGGGAATTTTCTTCGTGGTTTTTCTCCTGCAACAAGTTTCTTTATCTTGTTGAGAGACAGAATACAGTTTGAAAAATACCATTTAACCAAATATCCTGTTCCATTCTTGGAATTAAAATTGAGGTGCATTTTTAATACAAGAATCTGCAGCTAGGGGCGTAGATCAAATTAATTAAAAGAGTAAGGCTGAGGGGGAAAATATCAGCAAATGCTACAGTTTCATGCTTTTCCTAACAGGAAAATCTCTACAGTATGATAAAGAAACTAGCCATGCTTAATAGCAAATATTAATTTGGGAGAATTCTAAATACTCAGGATACTCTTCCCTCTATAATCCAAATGCAGCTTCAGAATCATTCTCAATATGATGTTCTAGGCAGGAATTATTAATTGAGGCAGGCGTTTGAGAGGAAGCATCTGGTAACCCATGCAATTATCAGGTTTAGAGAGTAAAAAAAAAAAACTATTTAAATTACTTTGAATTACTCTATTCCCAATGACCTAACTTGGAACATATGGAAGAAAGTAGTGGAATAGTTTTCCTCAACTCATTTGAGTTACTTTAGGTCCTCAGTCTTTAATCAGGTTTTTGAGAGGGAAAAAAGTTGTCACTGTGTGAACTCGATAAATTTTGAACAATTTTAAAAACTGAACATTATTTCTACCATGATGTGATCTGAGCTATTTGAGTATAATCATAAATCTTGTGTGGTGTGTTATCTAGACCAACTTCCCATTCAGTGAAAAACAAATTATTAACAGGCAGTAAAAAAGAATTAAACCTATTCAATGTCTCAGGTCACTCAAAGGCGGGTGGCACATCTCCCTGGTCTGCTGCTAGATCCGGCCTGGCCAGTGAACCACGAAAAAGCAACACTCCAGCCTTCCCAAGGAAGCCTGGGAACAGGGCCCAGGCAGGGACAGTGTCCCTTTCCTAAAAATAAGTTAACCAGATCCCTTCCCTGCCGTGATTCTTAGGAAGCAAGACATCATCAGCAGGCGTAAGCATTAATGAAAATAAGGAAACCTAAATAATCACAGAGAGAGGAGAGGAATCAGCCAACATCACTACTGGTTAGTGAGTAAGTAGAAAATGTAGGGCCAGGATGTACACTGTGAAATCAATAGGGAGAAGAGAAAGGCGCCCTTGAGAAGACTCTGGGGGAAAGGGAGGGCTTGAGGAGAAACTTCTAATTTTGCCTTAAAGTCACCCTAATCCGATGGCCTTTTGTGTCTCCCCAAACTTCGAACGCTGCGGAGGGACACGCGCGCTGTTTCAGACATCTTCACCACTCGTGACGCACAGAGCCACGGCCCCTTCCGCAACTCGCGGGCCTCGCCGGCACTGGAGCCAACCCAGCCCTCGTGACGCTCAGATCTCGGTCTGTAGAAACACACTTTTCAGCACCGTGCTCCCGGCACCGGCGTAGGCGCTGGCTGTGATCTTCAGCGCCGCGGAACAGCCGTCGGGGGCACAACGAGTGAAGCGCCGCCCCGCCCGGCTGGGGTCCCGCCCCGCCCCGCCCGGCTGCCCCGCCCGACGGTCTTAATGCGCCCCGGGCGCGCCCGGGATCCGCGGGCGATGCTGCGGGGACCGCGTCCCGGGTCGAGCATGGAGAAGAGGGCG